TGTTGAATGACAACACGACTGCAATGTTGTTGCTGTGAGAATTGTGGGTCTTCTTTTTAAAAATTAGACAATAATCAAGGACTTATATGAAATTTTAGGAATTTTGGTTGTATTACAATTTAGTTCATTGGGGTAAATCTATAATATACTAAAATTTATCAAATACATAAGAATAATAAATAAAAATCACATGTTACGTTCTTCTTATGACTAGGCAAATTGAAAATTCACATAAACAATTATGTACATTCACACATATAATTTATTAATATGACTTTATAAAAAATAATCTTTTTTTATACATATATATCTATAATAAATAAAAAATATTCAATTAATACTAATTTTTATTAATATAAATAATAATTTGTTTCAATTGTTAGGTTAACTCGGTTAACCAATCGAATTAACATAAAAAAAACTCATACTACATATTGAACAATATTGTTAAACAAGATGCACATTAGTGACTAATATACTACATAATAGTGTTATACCAAATGCACACCAACACATATGAGAACGCACCCTTATATTTGCATATATAAGATTGCACATTATTGTTATACCAAATGCACAATAATGCCATTGAGAATGCACATTAATTTGCATGTTCACATATATTAAAAGTTTGGTTATTTCAGTCTTGATTCGGCTCTATTTAAAAAAAAAATTCAAACTGACCGAATTTAAAAAAAAGTATTATTTTATATTATATATATACATATTATTTATTTCAAGCAAACAAGAATATACAATATTAAATAAATAAAAATTTATGAATACTAAATCATTTTTATTGTATAAACAATTTAATAAATGCATAAAAAATTAATAATGTTAATTAAAATATACATCACTAAAAAATTTAACATCCAAATGCACATAAAAATTACACACTCAACTGACTGCACATTAATGTGAGATCGAATGCACATTAATGTCTATGGGTATTCACATTATCAATTTTGATTATTAATATATTATTCCTTTTCGCAAAATTAATATAAGAATATTAAAATACTACGCATTTTTTAATAATGTACAAAAATAAATCTTTTGAATATTTTGAGTAATTCAGTTAACCGACCCGATAAACCCAGTAATTCGTTTAGTTTCTTTTTGGTTTGAGACGAACGCTCGATCGGTGCATACTGCACATTAGCGACTGAATTAGTGCATAATAACGTTAGACGAATCGCATATTAATGAATTTCATAATAAAAGATACCAATGCCAACTTCAATAATAATAATTAAAAAAAAAATCAAACCATAAAAAATTATTATTTTGTAATATATATTTTTCACATTCATATTTCTTTTCATACACATATTGTACATTTTAATTGATTTTATTCTGCATTTATTATTATTTTTTTATAATTTATATACTTAGCAAATGAATTAGTTAATACTATAACAAAAGTTCTTAAAATTTGCAGAATTGTCCCTACACTTTATCTAATTTTTGTTAGCATTCCCCTAAATCCAATCTACATCTCCGCCACTTCTTCACAACCACACCTTCACCATATTTCCGCCGACGGGAATCCTAATCAGCGAAGTCGTTTACATCATACCGCCAGCAAGAGAATCTCGAGACCAAAGACTCCGATTCAAGTGACGAAAATCTGGCCGACACCGAGTTGAGCCGTCTGTGCGGGACCGGCGACTGGCGGCCGTTGACCAAGGCGAGGAACTGGCGGAGATTTTCGGTTAAGTGGCAGAGTGGTGGTTGTCGCGGAGGCATCTCGCAGGAATCTTAGCGTCGGGCGGCGGAGCTGCAATGGAGGGAAGGAACTGTGGACGGCGACTGTCTCAGGCTACGGTCGGTTTCTGCGGGCTGTGGCTGTTCGGTTGTGTTCGGCGGCAGAGCAGGTTTCTGATGGTGGCTCGGCTCGTGACAGCGGCGGAGCAGGTCGTTGATGGTAGCGGGCTATGGTGGCAGCGCGGCGGAGGTATTTTGCTGAGTGGGCGGAAGTATTTTGCCTGAGGACGAGAGAGAAAGTGGGTGGAAAGAGATGGGTAGATAGTGGGATGAGATAGTGGTGGGGCCCACTGCAAGTTGTTGGATGATTATGTAATGTCTAATTTACCCTTAATTATTGGTAAAATGTATAAATTTGACCAATATGTGTATATTTATTTACAAAATTGCCATAGTATGTTTGAATTCTATATACTAATTTTGATTTGATCATGTCCATTGACTTGATGGATTCAATGTTCCAAAATTATTCTTATTTCTTTCCCTATCTACCATTCTCACATGATCCCAATTATATATATATATATATATATATATATATATATATATTATTAAATTTGAGAATAGTAAATACATCCAACATTTGTCTTTGTTCCATGTATGTTAGGGAATCGCGCCCAACTCGCCAGCTCCTAATTGTTCTCTATCTATTCTTTTTTTTAATGTGATAATGTACACTTTGAATTCACAAATATAAAATTACTTTTTTTTTAAAAAACAACAATTTAATGTATTTATTTTCTATCAAATTAATCATAATTTCCGGGTAAAAATTTTGTTTCATAGGTCTAATTGTGAACATATTTTTTATAATCAATATAAATACTTTTATAATAAAACACCTTACCTTGAAAATAATGTAGTTTAAAAGTATAAAATGAGCACACATATTTGATAAAAACAAAAAAAAATGGAAGATCTGCTTAATAATTACACTAACTTACAAGTATTTTGTGATATATACATACATATCATATCTGAATTGCATTAATGTTTATGCTAAATTATTTAACTTCATTTCTTTAGTTGTACGTCTTGAAACTTGAAATTGACCGTTGGATTCACTTATGATGTGAAATGGGAATTATTTGATTATTCTCTCTAACATATGAATTAATTTTCTCTCAAATTTCAATTTATATTCAACATTTCTTATTAACTTATTCTCTCAATTATTTGTACTCATGCAATAAGTTATTATTTTTTCAACAAGGTATTTAACTAATAATCAAATTTATTTAGAAAAATAAAATTTATAAATATAATGTACTGAAGTTTGATTAAATTTTTATTTTCTTTTTTTTTTCAAAAATTCTTGTCTCATATTGCTATATTTTCAAATTAATGGTGAGTAAAAAAAGTAAAAGTATACTACAAATAATCTATCCAATGGATTATAGTATATGTAAAAAATATAACTCACATTTAGTTCAAAATATATAAAACATTAACTAAATATAAAACTTATCGAAATAATATGTCAATACAATCAATTTTTTGTGGTGTTAGAAAAATATTATAAACGGACAAATTACACCAATTATACACCATATCGACATATACAATTAGAATATTTAAATTAAAAAAATAGAAACTCAAACTATTATGTTTTTTTTTAACTAATTAAAAATATGAATTAGAGTTTTTGCGAGAAACATGACTAATGAATATCACCGTTTTCCACCATCTCTAGTATATATGTACATCTATTCATATTTATCCCAAAGTTTGTTTACAAGTTTTCTAGTGGATCAATATACGAAATAAAATGAAACAAATACTTATGCGCAGGGCTAAAAAAAAACAATTGAAATGATTGTTACGAGAGAGATTAATTATTGTTATTATTATTATTATCCTTTTTTTATAATTTCTAAAAGTATTGAGCCTACATGGCTCGCACGCTTCAAAATCTTAATTGTAAACATTTTATGCTTTGGATTTTGGCTCGGATAAAATAAGTTAATTACATTCATAAAGAAATAGGCTCGGACATACTATAATTATATTCTGTAACTACAATACTATTTATGATACATATCTTCTACTAACATCATATATATATTCTGCTAATATCTTACATATATTTTCTAATATCTTTATACGGTCATGCTCCTCTACCCACTGTAGGTAAGAGATATGTATCATAAATAGAACTAACTAATCAAGGATTACTTAACTTCTTGATGTAACGAAACATAATTGTTGGGCATGGTAAGATTTGCACACCGTGGGTAGGGGGAGCATTCCCTTATACTCACGCCTATATTAGTTATGTTTTCTTCTCACAATCTCTTAATCTATCAATGTTTGAAGATTGAAATTTTAAATCTCTCAATGGTACGATGGTCTTTTTTCATATATTTTTTTGAATTTCAATCTCGACTTACATATATATATATATATATATATATATATATTCATTTCTTCTTCTTAATCATTTAATGACCTGTTAGAGTTGATCATTTTTTTTAATTAAGTTTATAATGTATTTAAAAAATAAATTTTTTTATTAAGTTTTTCATGTATTTAGAAAATAAATATTGATCATACTTAAATGTTGACTTTAAAATAAGCGGTGTTGGAAAATTTTGTGTCGTTTGCATTTGTTACCTTGCTAATGAACTCAAACCGATTGAGAGTAATTCGGATGCTGATGATGGCTTTATTTTCTGTATATTTATATGCAATTAAGGACGGTTCTTGATGAAGTGCGTGGTTGGTGGAGTCTTGATGTTTTATATTTATATGCAATTAAGGACGGTGCTTGATGAAGTGCGTGGTTGGTGGAGTCTTGATGTCATACCCATGCATATATTTTCTATTGGGCACACACAATTTTGAGACTTAAATTTCGACGTTATCTTATATTTCGAAAAAACTTACATAAAGTTGATTAGCATTATTCTTGTAAAACCCATATTAGGTGTTTGAATGTGGGAATATTATTGATTCAAATAAGTCGGTTTAGGATGATAATGTTGTGAAACCCTTAAATTCAATGTAGCTCGAGGAATGATTGTATAAATTTATATTTTTAGGATTCAAATAATGTAGTATAAATTTATATTTTTAGGGATATTAAGCAATCACCCATAATATCCATTAAATTCATTATGTCAATGTTTTCACAAGTTAATGATTTCCTTGGACTTTTATTAATAACTTTACTTGTCATGTTAATTCACCTATGCTGGAGTTGTGCAAGGTGACCACCACTGACATAAAGTTCAGTCCACACATATGCCTCGGCCCTGAAATTTATGTACAATATTTCATCAGCAATGTAACTTAAATCTATTGCATATATGGTTGAAATAAAGCATGTTTTGCTGCAAGCAAGTGTATATAAATTACCAAACTATTTCTTGGTATTGTTTTTCTTAAAATTGTTAATATTGAGACTACTACCATTAATTTAGGGAAATTTTCACCTATGCTATCCGTTTATAAAATAATTGCTGCTTTATCACTCAATCTAATTTAATTGTGTATATGCCTAATTGATAAGATTTATTTGCATTCATGCCTAATGTCAGTTACAATTCTCTCTCAACCCTATCCCCTGTTTTTTTGCGCAAGATTTGCAGATTGATGATGGAAAGAATCCAATTTGTTACAGATAGGCCACTTCCATTCCATATTTATAGGACATGATTTGTGGGTAGTTAGAAAAAAAGAAGAAGAAATTGTCGTTGATTTTTTTTCTGTTTTCATTAATACACACACAACCAAAAGAAAGAAAAAAAAGACGAACACAGAGGGCGTTGACCTCTTTTTTTTTCAAGCAATAACAATTCAGGGACATATACTACAAAAAAAAAGAAAAAAAAAAACAACAAAAGGGGGTCGATAGGATTTTTCAGCTATAACACTTCACGCAACATACACCTCAAGAAAAAAAAAAA